TGTTGGTGTCCAGGTCGTGTTGTGATGGTGTCCCGGTCATGTTGTGATGGTGTCCCGGTCATGTTGTGATGGTGGTTGTTGGTGTCCCGGTCATGTTGTGACAGTGTCCTGGTCATGTTTTGATGGTGTCCCGGTCATGTTTTGATGGTGTCCCGGTCATGTGATTCTGGTGTCCCGGTCATGTTGTGATGGTGGCCCGGTCATGTTTTGATGGTGTCTCGGTCATGTTTTGATGGTGTCACGGTCGTGTTGTGACGGCGTCCCGGTCATATTGTGATGGTGTCCCGGTCATACTGGTAATATGCTGGTGTCGCGGTCGTGTTGTGTTGGTGTCCCGGTCATGTTGCGACGGTGTCCCGGTCATGTTGTGACAGTGTCCCGGTCATGTTTTGATGGTGTCCCGGTCATGTTGTGATGGTGTCCAGGTCATGTTCCCCTGTCATGTTGTGATGGTGTCCCGGATGTGTGATGATGGTGTCCAAAAACGAGATGGTCGACGTGTTCCAAACAGCAGGTGTTTGCAGATTTTGTTTGTTGTCCCGGTTTGTATCTTGCTAGCGGGGTCTCCAGCTGGGCTAATTAATTTCCCATTGGTTTGCAATAAGTGTGGCCAATTTGCAGAGAAACTGGCAGCACTCAAGCGCCTCAAAGCACAAGAACACACAGACACAGTTTGTGGTGGGTTGCCATGAAGGTTTCCAACATTTGGCGCACATGATGCAACGTGCCAGGCTCCTTGCGAAGAGTGCTCCGTCACTGGGCATGGCGTCTTGATGTGTCAACCTACTTGGTTCGAAAGGCAGGAGTTTGGTTCTAAGGTCATGAACTCTTTAGCGGATGGCTATTGGATTGCAGAGCAGCTGCGGCGACTGGATGCACATACCTTTTTATGGGCTTGGGCGTGTGCTTGCCGGGATGTGCTGAGAAGCGACCACCCTTGAAACCAAAGGAATCGCATGATTCAATGCAGCTACCTGGCTCCTGGAGAAGGGAAAGCCAGCGAGGGTGAGAGGTGAATTCCCCAAAGTGGCAGTAGTGCTAGCTACTGGACCTGACGAAAACACCAAGGAAGCCCTGTGCGGTTCGGTGCTGAGCGAACGTCGAAGTGAGCTCGGTCTTTTCTATGGCTGCGCAGTGGTACAGTGCGTTGCGGGCATACTTGAGCCAAAATACAAGTGTGAATCAGGCTGTACAGCTACAAAGATACAGATAACAAAATGTACAAGTAAAAGGTGCGGCACACGCAAAGCGTAGACACGTCTGGGGGCACCTAGAACCATGATGAAGAAGAAGAAGAAGAGGACTGCCGCCAAGTGGTGTCGTCCTGGGCACACCTCCAGTCCCTGTTCCTTGCGAGCTGCCTTGCTGCAGACTCGAACTTCCTTGCGACATGCCAATTGGTAGCTGCATTGGAAAGGCTGATGATAGGATGCATTGCTGGACTTGGAGTATTCGTTCACTCGAATCGTTGTCTCCTTTTGTCGAGGCTCACCTTCGAAAGAGGCTTTATCCTTTGATGCTGAAAGCTGCTCGGTTGCGAGGGTAGAACACTCATAATTGCATAGGTGATTATAGGTGATACGAATAATGATTTGCTGCGCCTGCCACGCAAATCACACCAGCAGAGCGGCGGAGACCCAGCGACGCCAGGGCATACATCCGACCCCTGGGAGAGCAGCGTGCCTGCCACGCAAATCACACCAGCAGAGCGGCGGAGACCCAGCGACCCCTGGGAGACCACCAAGTGCTGCACCTGCCACGGGAATCACACGGGCAGAGCGGCGGAGACCCAGCGACGCCAGGGCGTACATCCGACCCTTGGAGAGCGCCAAGTGTTGTGCCTGCCACGCAAATCACACCGGTTGGTGGTTGGCGGTTGGTTGGTGGTTGGTGGTTGGTTGGTGGTTGTTGGTTGGTGGTTGGTTGTTGGTGGTTATTGGTTGGTGATTGGTTGCTGGTTTGTGGTTGGTGTGTGGTTGCTGGTGGGTTGTTCTTGCTTGGTGGTTGGTGGTTGTTGGTTGGTGGCCATAAATCCTACGTCGTCAGAACCTAGTATACTACATCTCCTGGAGACTGGTGATATAATATCGTCATCAAAGTTCTGCAAAAGAGAAATTGGCTTAGTGTAGTAATAGCCGTTGGGTCCTTCATTCCAAATGAACACATGTCAGAGACATGTCAAGAGTTCCATAGGTAACACCATGCTGTGACAAAAGACGTTGAAAGCATCGGGTGTGCCATAAAACTGATGAAGCTGGATTCTCTATGTATATTGAAATGATCGCCGTGCTCAACTTGGAATATGGTAATTCGACAGCAAAATCCAACATAGGAAGAAGCTTCTGCCGACGCTGATCTCTGGCATAGCGATCATGGATGTTGATCATTTGGCTCCAAGCAGCACAGCGCGGCGCCCTAAATATGACCTTTGGCCGCTGCTTCTCGATGATCTCCACAGGCCTCTTACGACCGTCGCTGGTTAAGATATCAAAACTTGTTCGAAAATCAATCGCCTGGCCAACTCTCAAACCATTCATGGCTGCTACTTGACTCAACCGTGCTGAACCAGCGAACAATTCAAGAAATCAATCTTACCAGACATAACGGATTGCCATGCATAAGGGGACTATGCGCAACCTTCATCGCCAATCTGTGCTCCATCTCTCTGGGTTAGAGAGCTGGCAGCAGAGACCGGAATATCGGACTCAGGACGCTCCGAAGTCAGAAGTGCAACTGGACCTAATGGCACCTCAACATCTTCTGCTGGATTGGTGTCCTTGCTGACGTTGACCTTTAGGATACGAGTGCCTAGATCTATACCAACCATACTGCCATCAGAACTGATCACCTTGCCTTTGATCGGTTTAACACGGTGTTCCATCGGACTTAACCTTGGGTTTGTCTTCTGTCCAGAAATAAATAGATCTTATCACCAGGGTAAAAGGGACCATCGCTCAACTGAAGTCTTGCAGAAATGTCTCGCCTGAGATCGTCTGACTGTTTGGCTTCTAAATAAGACTTCATGGCAAGTGTTCCGAGGGCAACAATGTTCTTTTCGTGTCATGAAGTGGCACCGTCGTAAATGATCAAGAACAAAAGTTTGGACTTCATATGGTAGTGTTTGAAAAGCAGTTTGAGAAGTTCAGTTGGATGAGACAGCTTTTCATGATTTCTCTGTGTTGAAATTCACCTCATCTCCATGGACCCCGTAGCGTGGACTCAAGGTAGAGTAAAATAGCCCGCTTACCGGTCTTATAGGGTTAGCTAGGTAACTAGTGAAATCCGCGCTGATCCTGTAAATACAGGTTATCAGCCGTAGGCTAACTAGAGTAGAGCTATGGACCCGATGGACGATGACGTCGCACCGAACACCTACGGAAGTGGTTTTGACATTGTTCCAAGTTTACCCAATAGTTTGGATGCAGCTCAACGACATGAGCAGGCAGTTGCTCAGGTGGCAGCAATGGATCCAAGGGTAGCTTCGGAGGTGTACCAACAGATGCTAGACAGTGGTGGCAGTGTTACTCTTCAAGAAACAACGCAAGCTACCCTAGCAGGTATGCCGTCAGCCACCGTAACAGGTGCGCCAACAGTAAACAACTTGTTGGCAATGACTCGGTTCAACGTCGTCAACTTGAATACATCAACAGGTGATGAAGAACTACGACGGGAACTACAACAACACGAGTTTTTACTCAGTGAGCATGCCAGGAGGGAAGCAGAACTCGAAGCATTGCGTTTTAGGCAAATATATGAAAGAGAAGCCTCTGAATCCATAGCAGAAACAAAAGTTGCGGCAGAGCAGGCAATGTTGAATGTTCAACAGAGGGCTCAACAGCAGGAACAAAATGTTCAGCAATTGGTCCAACAGCAAGACAACGTTGCGATCAAACGATTGCAAGGTACGTCGGAAGAGCAAAGAGAACATTTTCAGCAACGGCTAGCTCAGGCAACTAAGGCTCACGAAAGGGTTGTACAAGAGAAGAACGCCTCAACAGAGGAAGGCAATGTATTTGTTGAAAGATTGAAATCTGAACATCGTCAGTATGTTGAGCAACAAGAATCTAGACTCAAGGCAGCAATGCAGGCAACAGATCATGCCAGGTCTTCGTCAGCCGAAGAAGCACGCATAGCCATAGATCTAGATTTCAAGCGCGAGGAGCTGACAAGTTCATTGGCACTTGCACAGGCCAAAATCAGGTCACTCGTTGGTGAAATGGAAGCAGCCAAGAAACAGAACGATGTTGACAAGGAATATCAAGAGCAAACCATTGTTGAACTACGGAAGGACAATGCAATGTTGAAGGGTGAAATGGATGAGCTCAGACGTGTTGTACAGGCCCTCACGGACAGGGAGGAAGAGCGCAAAGAAACAGAGCGCAAGGCACAAGCCGAAAGCCCCGTTAAACCAGGGCCGCAACATTCTGAGCCACCTCCACTTCATGCGCAACCTGATATTTTCCCTATTGGTCAACCCCGTTCACTTGGTCCTCTTCGTACGGAGGGCTCAATTCCAGCAACTGTAGCAGGTTCGCCCCCAGATGCAGGCGGAATTCCTATAAAGACGGCAATGGATGCAAATGCAACAAGCCGCAATACAGGATTTCCTTCAATGTTTTCTGGAACAGGGGCGGCTGCAACGGAACAAGCTACAGCTTCCACGGATAAGCAGCAGTTCAAACCACCAGATCCTTGGACAGAGTATCGAAAGAAGTCGGCGCAGTACAACTTCAGCGATGACCCTTTGTATAAAAGCTCCTTTAACCAGGATGCAAAACAGAACAAAGATGACCGCAAAGACGAAGGGCCGGCATCTCAGGTAAGAACTCCACAAGACCAAGATCTGGGGGAAATCATTAAAAGGGCCTTGCTAGAGGGGTTTAAGGGCGCTAAAAACAAAGACCAAGATAAACCCAAGGCAAAAGAGGCAGATAGAATAGACCTTCCTGAGTTTCCAAGTCCTGACAGGTACCGCACTTGGAGGGCCGCAGTTCGCGAAGCGATCCGGTCCGCGTCCGATGTCCGATGACCCAGACGCCGCGTTCGCGTGGGTGCTTGAGGTTTACGCCGTTCGGGAGGACAAAGCAAAGCTTTGTTCCGAGCTGGCTGATCCAGGCAAGTTTCGGACCTTAGATACGAAACTCCTTGCTGCTTTGACTAAGGTTGCCAAAGGTGAACTGTCTCAGCAAACCCTTAATTACAAGGAATCTGAGGCACAGCAGGGTAGGATTGTTCGTGGTCGTCAGGTTTTGCTCATGTTTGAAGTCCACTTCAAAACTAGCGAGGAAGCGGGTGCATTGTATGGTACGGAAGACCTCCTAAAGATCTCGCTTGACAGCGATGACTTAAAATCCTTTCTTAGGAAATGGGAAAGCGTGTTGACCGGAATGAGTCATGTACCGGACCCAGCAACACTTAAGGATCTTTTCTATAGAGAGGTCAGGAAGTCCCGTAAACTCAGATTTGATCTTGATGTTTATGAACGGGCTCCAGAAGGAAGTAACGACAGAAGCTATGAGTTCCTCATTAATTCTGTTAGACGGTATCTTGACAGAGAAAGGCTAAAGACCAATCGACAGAAAATCTCTCAATCGCATTCAGCCAAATATGCAAATCCAGCACCACATGACAAACGCACACGAAGCCCAAGCTATGGCAAACGAAGTACGAAGGGTGACGGTGGCAATCAATGCTATGAGCTCGCCAAAACTGGCACATGTAAGTACGGTAGCAAATGCAAGTACTCACACGACTCTAGCGCCCGTCCCCGCTCCCTTAGCCGGGAGTCGTCTCGTTCATGTAGTGCAAGTTCGAGTGGTCGTTCATCTTTAGGTCAAGCCGATCCAGGAGCTCATCAAGACCGTC